GCTTTTTGGTGGCATTTCCTTTTAAGTTGGCGAGCTCCATGTTGATGGACATTCTTGAGAAGCTTGGAGGGCACTCATCTCTCAGGGATGCCCTAGAAAGGTTGTCTGCACTAGTGAGATTTGCTGCTCATTCCAATTAAGGTCCTTCTAACTCCAAACCTCTTTGAATAATAAATAGATAATGAGACTGAGAAAAATAAAGGATGTGTCATTAACAAAGCCGCAGACCACAGTTCATTGGCAGCGTTGGGGCCGGTTAGTTCTGTGATTGCTTGGACAACTGTGTCTGTACCTAAAACACCCAATTAATGGCCATATTCCCACTGTCTGATCACTGCACAGCCTGGGTGAGAGGTCACCAGATTCCAGCTTACAGAGCTAAATAAGACCTTTTTGTAGGTTCTCAGTGCCCTGTCATTTAATTACAGAAACAATTGTTTGAACAGATTAATATATCAATTTAGCAGAAGAATAATTGTACAAATGCAAAGCCCTTCCCAGGCCAGGATAAGAAGAATGCAGTTCCTGCCTCTGCCTTCATCAATAAGAGGCTCAGAAGAATCAATGAAAGGGAAGTTGCTTGGTGAAGTGCGGAATCATATACAAACATGTGTCCATTATTGATTGACACAATGATGCTGTGAAACCACCACACACTTCAGCAGTGTACGGCAGTAAATGTTTATGGCTCGGGTAAGCCGGGCTAGGCTGGGTGGTCCTTCTGGTCTCAGCTGGACTTTCTTTTTTTTTTTTTTTTTTTTTTTTGAGACGGAGTTTCGCTCTTGTTACCCAGGCTGGAGTGCAATGGCGCGATCTCGGCTCACCGCAACCTCCGCCTCCTGGGTTCAGGCAATTCTCCTGCCTCAGCCTCCTGAGTAGCTGGGATTACAGGCACGTGACACCATGCCCAGCTAATTTTTTTGTATTTTTAGTAGAGACGGGGTTTCACCATGTTGACCAGGATGGTCTCGATCTCTTGACCTCGTGATCCACCCGCCTCGGCCTCCCAAAGTGCTGGGATTACAGGCTTGAGCCACCGCGCCCGGCCTCAGCTGGACTTTCTGAGACTCAGTTTCCTCATCTGTAAAATGGACATTACAGCAGCAGATCCCATTTTGTGAAGATTAAGTAAGGCAATCCAGAACACGTGCTTAGCCTCTATGTCCTCAAATATTGAAGGCTGGCCAGGACTTGAGGAATAGAATGGAGACAAAAATAGACATGATTCTTACTTCCACTGGAAGCAGGATGGTGGGGGTGATGGTATAGATAGACATCATACAAAGAAAGGTGGAATTGAGCTGTAATTGCTGCAGTGGAGAGGGGGTGCCTATTATTCTCTTGTGACAGTTTCCAATGATGCATTTAACCTCGTAAGGGAAGTTAGATAATTCTTTCCTGAAGTGTCACTCTTAGGCTGACATCTGAAGTAGTGGCACCTAGTAGGCACGCAGTAAACGTTGGTTACCACCATTATCCCTTTCTTCCTCACTGCCAGAGGCCGACGTATGAGCAGGAAAGGGCAGGATTTAGCATTCGAGCACCAGCTATATCACAGGCATTTTTCACATTATTATCTCCCTTAACCATCACAACGGTCTCCCGGGAAGTAGGATTGTTATTCTTAGCTGACACACTAAGTCTCGGACAGGTTAAAGTATTTTTTAGAGGGATTGACAAGTCGGGGGTTAAAATCCAGGTCTTTGGGACTTCCAAGAGCTTTCCCCTGTAGACGCAGCCTGTGGTTTATGCCTTCGTGGTGTGCTTGATGGACACTCTGTGCCGAGCTCACATCCTCTCAGAGGTTGAGCACTGCCTGGAGCACCACCATTAGCTTGGTAGCCCTCTTGGTTCTCTTTTTAGTGGGGTCATTTTTGCCTCTTTTGTAGTAGCCAAGGAAAGAAAGCAGTTTCCCATGAGTGGAGGCACATTTAAGATCTTAAGCACAGGAAGAGTCGAATTTTGAGAAGGAAGCGAAATTTGGGAGGAGATACAGTGAAAGACAAGATAAAGAAGACACATAGACCTCTCCCTCTCCCCCAGAATATTAGAGAATCTTGGGTACCATGTAATTCAACCCAGCCATTTAACAACTGAGAAACCTGAGGCTCAGAGAGGGTTAGGTATTTACTCAAAGGCAAACAGCATATGACTTACAGAGTTAGGGACTTATTCCAGAATTTCTTAACTGCTTTTGTGCTTTTTTTTTTCCCCCCCTTTGCAAACTCCCTCCAGTTTGGGGGATGGCTTAAAAATCTCCTAAAGGAAGGCAGCAGATTTATGGGTTAATAAACATTTACAATGAGTTGCTGAAAAAACAGACTCAGGTAGACAGGAATTATTCATTCAAATTAACTATAAATTAAGATCAACCTAATTTAGGCCTATTAAAATGGAAAGCATATTATCTCTCATTCAAAGGAATTTGTATTTGATGCAAATAGAACAAGTTCCTAAACTTTAGAAATGTTCTTGGATTTTTCATCTCCATAGTTAACCAACAAAGAATGGGTTCCCCATTTAAAAACAGGGGAACATAAGGAACAATAATTAGTTATGTAAATAATGTGGCATTCTTGTTTATAATTAGTTCAAGAATAAAATAAAATTCACGCATGTCACAGGACTAATTTTCGTATGCAAATGAACAATCAAAATTATAAACGGTAATAATGCAGTTTGGGAGATGTGACATTCTCAATTTATTAGCAGGGGTGCCAGTTACAGCTGATGGTGGCTGACGTTGGGGGATTTCAAAGGTGCCCAGGCCTGGAAAATTCTCACCCATCAAGAGGAGAAAATCTAACTAAAATAGTTTCACCCATTTTACATCGCTGATGGCCACAAAGTGAACCCAGGGCTCCTCTGTGGCTGGGGAGAGAGGTATCACACCAGGGAGAGAGGAGTCCAAGTGAATTTTTGAAAAGAACGCTCTGACATTTGGCTGATGAAAAAAACAAAGACCAGCCATTCCAACCTGGGCTCTGAACCTCAAAGACCCCCATTGCTGCTTCCTGGTTTCCCCATCTAGGATGGAAGTTTCATGGAAGAGGAGGAGGGAGTTTTTGAATCAGATGGACTTGGAATCTTGCTTCTACCACTTGCTCACTGCACGGCTTTCCCGAACCTTTCTACTTCACCTATCCGTACTCACGTACCCTCATCTGTTAACTGATGGTGATATCCTCTGTCTTTAGGCAGTGCTAAATTACCTTAAAGAAGGGCTAAGCACACGTTTAGGGCACTAGCAAAGTAGAGTACTGGGGGAAGAAAAAGTGTGAGATAATCAGGAGGTCTAGAATAAAAAGCTGCTAACATTCTGGCATTCATGAGAGCGTTGTGTCATTCTGAAAAATAAAAGTACGTAGTACGTTTAATTGAGAATTATATGTGGAATATATGGGTGTGTATTATATATAGAATATGCTTTGCTCCCTTGGAATGCTGTGAGATTGAATGCAATTACACATATAAAATAATTAACACAGTGCCTAGAAGTTGGAATAACTCTGTAAATAGTTGTAGCAGCTACTGTTGTTAAATGAATCAGTCGGATTCCAAAATCTCTGCAGTCCTTTTTTTAAGTCCCAGTGTTCTAGGATTCTGCCTAGAGGGAAGATGTTTAATTTCAGATAATAGCTGCATCAGGACCAACATGGGCCAGCGGGGATTTCCAAAGGAGGATAGTCCGAAGCGCGCCGGGAAGGGCGGCAGGATGTGCTGTAAGCATCACTGAAGTTGATGATGTGATGAGATACGGTACATCTGGTCTCAAACTATCTCCCCCAGCAGCCATGGCACCCAACATTTTGCAACCAGAAGTCCGTATCTGCTGCCTTACCAAGACTAGGAACCATGTATTCATGATGTTACTATGATTTGCATCCTTTTACCTAAGATTTCCTTATCTACCTATCAATCTATCCATGCACCTATCCGTCCATCCATCCAGCCAAACATTGGGAACGCTTTGAAGGCTACCTACCTTATGGTGGATAGACTTTGGTCCTCTTCAATTATTGGCACTCCAAATTTGGAATGGGAATCTTTATTGAGCAGCTATTCTGTGATAGACCCTATCTAGACGGTTTACACACATTATCCCACTTAATCCTAATGACAGCTCTAAGAGCTGTGGATAACAACGTTTATAAAGTAATAATAGCTACAATTTATTGAGTGTTACTATGTACTAGCAACTGTGGTAAGCCCTTTATATGAGATAGCTCATTTAATGTCTCCAGCAGTTTTGAGAAGGACTCTTATTTCTTGGATTTACCAGTTATTGCCCAGATTCTGAAGGGTCAAGTGAGTAGCCCAAGGTCACACAGCACATTAGAGGTCAGGGCAAGCCTTATTCCCTGGTCTTTGGAATTCCAGCTTGGTCACTGTCTGCTTCATTGTACCTTTAGTTAACCGATTTTCTCTTGGAGGGAGGCATGTGGGCTTCCAACCTCACCAGACAATCATGGGAGGAGGAAGGACAAGAGCTTTCTCACAGAGTTAACTCTCTACTCCTTGGCCCCCTGGGGAGGGGCAGCCCCCCCTGAGCATCCTGACAGGTCAGCCTGCACTCAAAGCAGTCTCTTGTGGGGGGGCCTTGATGGCTCCCAGGATGTGAACGTACACAGCTGCCAGGCTTCCGGAGTCTCTGGATCCTAAGAGCACTGGGGGGCCCGGTAGGATTAATTGCTTCTCTGGCTTCCAGCAGGGAAGCAGGGTTAAGGATGAAGGGGCAGGCCTCTGTAGTGCTGGATCGGAGGAACGTATGCGGCCGAGAACGTCTCCTGGCAGATAGGGAAGCCCACAAAGGCCCCACTTCCCCTGGAGGGAAGACGTCAGAAGCCGATGTCACTTTCCCCTGTGCCGTTCTAAAATTACATAACTGGAAGAGATGCCACGAAGCCTGCATCTACCATCCTTATTCTTTCTGTGTGGTCTTCCTCCTCGTCTTTCTTACGACTAACTCTTCTTCCACAATTAATTTTTTTTTTTTTCAGGCACCTTCTATATATCTCATGCTCTGGAAATACCAAGATGAACCATGCAGAGCCTGACCCCATGGAGTTGGGAGTCTAGTGGGGAAAGACAGACATCATCAAATGCTGGTACAAATAAAGGCATGTTTACCTGAGGGGTTACATGTTATGCCAGGGAGGCACAGCCTCCAGGGGAGCCAATAGCAGGGCCCGAGCTTGGTCTGGGGTTGGCCAGGAAGGGCTTTCCTGCAGAAGTAACGTTTGCTCTCAGGACCAAAAGATGACCAGGTGAAGAGTCACCTCACTCCTTGAAACCTCAGTTTCCTTCTTTGTAAAGTGGGATGATAGTAACACCTACGTTCCAGGATATTTGTGAGGATAAACCGAGATGGCACAGGTGAAGGTGAGTAGCACAAAGCCTGGTACATAGTGAATGCCTGGCGTATCGTGGCTTCGTCCATAGTCCCTTGATGTGCAGTGAAGTTCTTATAGATTGGAAAGCTCATTGTTGTCTTAGAAACGGGTGCCCAGGGGACAAAGAAGAATGCAAGCTCACCATGTGAATGCACGCAGAAGAGGAAGGGTCTCACTCTGCTCTCTCTCTCTCTCCATCCTGACGACCCTTTTAATTGCTTAGGTTTTCTTCTAGGGGTTTTATGGTATTAGGTCTTATATTTAAACCTTAAAAAAAAATCCATCTGGAGTTAATTTTAGTGTAAGGTGTAAGGAAGGGGTCCAGTTTCAGCTTTCTGCATATGACTAGCCAGTTTTCCCAACACTATTTATTAAACGGAATTCCTTTCCCCATGGCTTGTTTTTGTCAGGTGGTTGTAGATGTGCAGCGTTGCTTCTGAGGCTTCTGTTCTGTTCCACTGGTCTGTATCTCTGTTTTGACCACATAATAGGAAGTAAATCACTCCTCAGCAAATGCAAAAGAAGGAAAGGTTTTTACAACAGGAAGAAACATCATCATCTTGGCTTTGTCTTTCTCCAGGAGGCTTGAATGTGATTTGCATAACCACAGGGAGATGGCTGTCTGGATCTTTCATAGTTTTTTTCCAGCCCTTAGAATCATTCTGGTCTTTGCTTGCAACCTCCTTTAAAACCATATCCTGAGCCACCTCCATTCTTCTCCGAAATCATTGTAACAGCTTCTGAGCAGGTCCCTTAGCATTCTATAATCTACCCTCCACACAGAAGCAAAAGCTATTATGTAAAATAAAAGCCGGATGTATTTTCCCCCTACAGTTGTAGCTTATGACATGGCCATTCCCAATCCATCCGTTTCTCCCATTCCACCTCCCCGCACCCAGAGTGCACAAACCACTCTCCCTTCCTTTCTGATTCACAAACATTTGGGGCTTTTGCATTTCCTCTGTCTGAGCCCTCTTCCCCTAGGACTTTGCAAGGCCAATTTTTTCTTATCATTCCCAGCTCAACTATCACCCCAGACAGGGCACTCTGACTACTCCCAAGTCAGTCCATCCAGATGACCCTTTTAATTTTCCTTTTAACACCTATCAAGCTGGGCCTGATGATGTGTGTCTGTAGATTCAGCTACTCAGGAGGCTGAGGAAGGAGGATGGCTGGAGCCCAGGAGTTCAAGGCTGCAGTGGGCTACGATACCATCACTTTGCTCCAGTCTGGGAGACAGAGCGAGACCCTGTCTCTAAAACATAAATAAATTAGTCCAGGTGTGGTGGCTCATGTCTGTAATCTCAGCACTGTCGGAGGCTGAGGTGGGTGGGTTGTTTTAACCCAGAGGTTTGAGACCATCCTGGAGAACATGGTAAAACTCTGTTTCTACATAAAGCAAAAGTTAGCCAGGCATAGTGGTACATACCTGTGGTCCCAGATACTCAGGAGGCTGATGCGAAAGAATCACTTGAGCTGGGAAGTTGAGGCTGCAGTGAGCTGAGATTGCTCCACTGCATTTCAGCCTGGACAACAGTGAGACCCCCCAATATGTAAATAAAACAAATAAGTAAGACACTGATCAATACCTTTCTGTGATTCTTTTCTACTTGTTCACATATGTATGATCTTTCTCTCTTACTACACATAAGCTCCTTTGGAGCAGGGTCTTGGTTTTCTTTTCTTTCTTTCAGTTGTTGTTGTTGTTTTTCTTTTTTTTTTAGGTGAAGTCTTGCTCTATTGCCCAGGCTGGAATGCAGTGGTGCAATCTTGGCTTACTGTAACCTCCATCTCCTGGGTTCAAGCGATTCTCCTGCCTCAGCCTCCAGAGTAGCTGGGATTACAGCAGCCTGCCACCACATCCAGCTAATTTTTTGTATTTTTAGTAGAGACTGGGATTTCACCATGTTGGGCAGGCTGGTCTCGAACTCCTGACTCCATGATCCACCCACCTGGGTCCCCCAAAGTGCTGGGATTACAGGCATGAGCCACCGCGCCTGGCGGGTTCTTGGTTTTCTTGTTCACTATTATCCTATCTCCAGTTCTGAGGGGTCAGTCTGGGACACTGTTGGCCCTTAAAAATATGTGTTGACTGAATGAATACTTGCATGGGGGCAGCAGTTGGCTCTGTGCAGAATACCAGCTCTTTCATATGAAGTAGTTTCATAATTCACTATTGAATTTCTTCATTTTAGGCCTGTGTAACAAGAATAGGACAGACTCTCTGTATTCTTTTCCATTCCCAGCAGCATTCCTTCACTCCCAAAATATTTATTGAAGCTAAAAATAGATAAATATAAATTACATTAAATTCTATTGGCATTGCTCATCTAGTCCAGCAGGTCTTACTTTCCCATTCATCCTTAATCCCATCAAATTAAAGTTTAAAATTGAGAACATCTGTTTATTGAAGATACCATGAAGACAGTGAAAAGGTATAAAACAAAGTGGGAGAAGATAGTTGAAATACGTACTTGACAAATGACTCCTGTGTAAACTGTGTAAAGGAATCCCACATCAGCATGAAAAGGCAGACAACCCTGTAGAAAAATGGGAAAAAGACTTCAATAGGCAGTTCACCAAAATGAATATATAAGTGACTAATAAATGTATATGTTCTGTTTCAGGAGTTGACAGATAAATGCAGATGAAAATCACAATATGACACCATTGGACACACACCATAATGGGTAACTTTTTTTTTTTTTTTTTTTGAGATGAAATTTTGCTGTTTTTGCCCAGGCTGGAGTGCAATGGCATGATCTTGGCTCACCGCAACCTCCGCCTCCTGTATTCAAGTGATTTATCCTGCCTCAGCCTCCCAAGAAGCTGGGATTAAGGCATGTACCACCACGCCCAGCTAATTTGGTATTTTTGGTAGAGATGGGGTTTCTCCATGTTGGTCAGGTTGGTCTGAACTTCCAACCTCAGATGATCCACCCACCTTGGCCTCCTAAAGTGCTGGGATTACAGGTGTGAGCCCCTGAGCCTGGACCGCTAAAAGCTTTTTAAAAGTTAGGAAATACTAAGTGTTGGTAAGAACATGGGTCACAGGAACATTGTACAATGCTGGTGGCAGATTTAATAGATGAAATTGTTTGGGAAATCTGTTTGCCAGCATGTCCTATGACCCAGCAATTTCACTTCTTGGTATAAAGCCAACAAAAATACGTATGTATATGCACCAAGAGGCTTGTAAAAGAAAGTGTATAGCAGCATTCTTTGCAATAGTTCCAACTAGAAACAACCCCTGTGCCCACCAATGGGAGCATGGCTAAATAAATTGGGGTAACTTCACGTAGTAGAGAGCTAAGCATCAATGAAAGCGAACAAACTGGATGGGCATGGTGGCTCACTCCTGTAATCCCAGCACTTCGGGAAGCCGAGGCGGGCAGATCACCTGAGGTCAGGAGTTTGAGACCAGCCTGGCCAACATGAAACCCCATCTCTACTAAAAGTACAAAAATTAGTCAGACATGGTGGCGGGCACCTGTAATCTCAGCGCTCAGGAGGCTGAGGCGGGAGAATCACTTGAACCGGGGAGGCAGAGATTGCAGTGAGCTGAGATCGAGCCACTGCACTCCAGCCTGGGTGACAAGAGCGATACTTGGTTTCAAAAAAAAAAAAAAAAAGTAAGCAAACTACAAATACATATAAAAATCTGGATGAAATGCACAAATATAATTTTGAGTAAAAGAAGCCAGATAGCAAGATGTAAAAGCATACATACTGTGTGAGTCTATCTACACAGAGTTCAAAAGCTGTTGGAAGGGAGGATGGTAGTTACCGTTGGGAAGTTGACTTGGGGATGTGAGAACATTTTGGGGGCTGGGGGCCGAGGTAGGGCTGGAAATGTTGGTTGTCTTCAGCTCATTGCCGGTTACACAGGAGTGCGTTTGAATTGGGAGAATTCGTTGAGCTATACACGTATGACTTGTACATGTTTCTTCATGTATGTTATCTATTAACGGAATGTATTTAAAAATGTTTATGGGGTCGTGCTACATACAAACTGGACTTGACTCCAGGAAGCCATCAGAATCAAGAGAGAGCAAGTTCTTGGCATCACGGAGCGATCCACATTCCAGGTCATGCCGTGGACCTGCCGCGTGCCCTCAGGTAAGAGACCTCATTTCCCTTATCTATAAACTGAGAATCCTAATTCCTTCCTCTAAGCAAAGCCAGCCGGCGAATTCCCCCTTCACCGCTCCCTTCTCCCCTCAAAGAGACAAGCCGTCCTTGCCACACGCCTCTGTGTTTTTTTTCACCCAGCGCTACCTTTCAAATCCTGGCCCAGAAAGGTGAGGCAGGGAGGGGCCCCGGCCTCCACGTGCGTGAATCCCACCGTCCTCCTCCTGAGAGCTGCAGGGGGAGCATGAAATATTTAAAAGCTCAAATTGAAATCCTGTTAGCTCCAGGTCTTGTAAAGCCAAGTTCTCCAACCCCAGAACATCAGTATCTGTTTGCTGGTGTCATTTAGGGACCCCGGCTTTCCAAACCATTGACTGAAACTTTCTGTCAATCCAACACTTTTAGGGTAATTTAACTTAATAATACCTTTGTCGGCACTGGCGCCTGTGTCTGAAGGGTGATTACCATAGAAGTTATTTTAGGTTGTTTAATGGGATGTAGTAAATTCTCAATTGACAGGGCAGATCCTCAGAATGGCTTTTCAAAGTGTTTACCTTTCAAAGCTTTCTCCCTCACTTTACCAAACTTACTACTTTGAGCCTAGCGAAGACTTCATAAATTATTAGCAATTGTTCTCCCCCCTGTGTTCACATGCATCATTAATTCTTTGTAAAAAGTTCAAACTGTCCGGGGCTTAATTGTTATCACTTGGAGAACGGCTGGAAATGGATGCGGGCTCTATTATTTCTGTCAGAAATGTTGACTTATTGCACTTGATATTTTACCCATCACATCGTATCCTCTGTACAGGAGCGAGGGAAAGAGGGGAGGGGGGAAAAGGAACATAAATGCATTTTCTTGAAACAAACAAAAAAAAATAGAATACATATATTTCTGGGAGTAGAAGTCAAGGATTCATCTGACAAAATAATAGTTTTAATCCTCCGAAGAGAGAGGAGGGGGGCAGCATTGAGGGGGAAATTTATATCGCAAATTCTATTGGCTCACACTGTATTTTATTCTGAGTTTTGAAGGTTCTATAATTCTAGGAATCTAATGTTTAATGATTCTGAGATGTTGAAATTCTCTGAGTCCAAATTCCCAGGGTGTTTTATTTTAAGGAGAAATTAACCTCACAGTCCAATATTCAGGACTGCTAAGAAGTATGGTGGAATGAGAGAGATATTGACAGTAACCACAGAAATAGCTGAGCTTTGCTGAGAGCTGACGATGCGCAGGCACCGTGCTGAGTGCTTCATGTGCAGCACCTTATTATTATTTTAATTTTTTTTAAATAGCATTTTAGGTTTTGGGGTACATGTGAAGAACATGCAAGATTGTTGCATAGATACACACATGGCAGCATGATTTGCTGCCTTCCTCCTCATCACCTATATCTGGCGTTTCTCCCCATGCTCTCTCTCCCCACCCGCCGCTGTCCCTCCCCTATTTCCCCCCAGCAGACCCCAGTGTGTGATGCTCCCCTCCCTGTGTCCATGTGTTCTCATTGTTCAACACCCGCCTATGAGTGAGAACATGCGGTGTTTGATTTTCTGCTCTTGTGTCAGTTTGCTGAGAATGATGGTTTCCAGGTTCATCCATGTCCCTACAAAGGACACGAACTCATCGTTTTTGATGGCTGCATAATATTCCATGATGTATATGTACCACATTTTCCCTGTCCAGTCTATCATCGATGGGCATTTGGGTTGGTTCCAGGTCTTTGCTATTGTAAACAGTGCTGCAATGAACATTCGTGTGCATGTGTCCTTATAGTAGAACAATTTATAATCCTTTGGATGTATACCCAGTAATGGGATTGCTGGGTCACATGGAATTTCTATTTCTAGGTCCTTGAGGAATCGCCACACTGTCTTCCACAATGGTTGAACTAATTTGTGCAGCACCTTATTTAATCTTCACGACACTCTAAGGTAGGTACTGTTATTAGTTCCTTTTTATAGCTGAGAAAACTGAGGCACAGAGAGGGTGAGGTGAGTAACTTACTCAGGGACACACAGTTGGTAAAAAGCAGAGTTAAGCTCTGACTTCAGGCCCCGTATGTAGGAGCACAATGTATATTGTGCTCCATCTCAAGATACTGCTCTTTTGCCCCACCTGGTGTGTTGTGGATCAGTGCATAGAAGTGATCCACGTTGGTATAAGAGTCTATTGTCAGATCACCCCCCAGGTGACCCCATCCTGGCCTGGTTTTTGTCTCTGTCCCTTTCCCATTCATTCTACAAGATTGCCTCCTCCAAGAAGGCTTCCGTCCTGCCATGCCTTCCCATTCATTCTACAAGGTCACCTCCTCCAAGACTTCACTCCTGCCCCACCATCCTTTGAATCCTCGCAACAGTTGGTAACAGGGAAAGGGATCATGAGGCAGTCTTGTAGGCTGGCCAAGAGCATGGACTATAGGGTCAGATCCCTTCGGTTGGGACCCTTGCTTCTGCCACTAAATCCATGCTGCTGAGCTTGAGTAAGGCAAGTCATTTAAGCCTCAGCTTTCACATCTGTAAAATGGGCATAACCACCGCTGCCTCACAGAACTGTTGTGAAGACGAAGGGAGGTGTTCCAAGGGAGCTCTGTATACTGCTTCCCAACAGTCAGTGCTCAATACGTGCTGGCTCTTGTTCTGTCTTGTCTTGTAGTGATCTCATACCGAGATCTTTGTGTGTTAAAGTGTGAGAGTCAATACTCTTTTTTTTAAAATCCACATTTATTTTCAATGGGATTTGGAAATTTCTTTATCAAATAATTCAAGGAGAGTGTATATTAAACTATGTATTTTTAAAATTTTATTTTTGACAAGTAACCGTCAATATGTATCTATGAGGTACAGTGAGATGTTTTGATTATGTTTACATTGTGGAATGATTAAATCAAGCTAATTAACACATCTATCACCTCATTTACTTATCATTTTTCAGTGGTGAAAGCATTTAAAATCTAGTCTTTTTAGCAATTTTGAAATACATACTGCATTATTGTTTATTATTGTCACCATTCTGTACAATAGATGACTGAAGCTTATTCCTCTGTCAGCTGAAACTTTGTACCCTTTGATCACTAACTCCTCTTTCTCTGCCCACCCCTTCCCCGGGCCACTGGTAACCACCATTCTACTCTCTACTTCTATGAGTTCAACTTCTTTAGATTTCACATAGAACTGAGATCATGCAGTATGTATCTTTCTGTGTCTGGCTTATTTCACTTGGCTTAATGTTCTCCAGGTTCATTCATACTGAAGCCAATGAGAGGATTTTCCTCATTTTAAAGGCTAAATTATATTCCATTATGTATATATACCATATTTTCTTTATCCATTCATCTGCTGTTGGACATTAAGGTTGTTTCCATATCTTAACTATTGTGAATAACATTCCAGTGAACATAGGAGTGGAAATATCTCTTGGGTATAAGAATTTCAATTCCTTCGGATATACAGCCTGATAGGATAATCCTACTTTCAGTTTTCTGAGGAACTCCCATACTGTTTTCCATAATGGCTGTATTAATTTACCTTCCCACCAACAGTGCACAGGAGTTCATTGTTTTCCACACCTGCATCAACTTATTACCTTTTGTCTTTTTGATAATAATATTCTAACAAATTTGTGATAATATTCCATTGCGATTTTAATTTGCATTTCCCTGATGATTAGTGATGACCAGCACTTTTAAAATCCTCATTTGACCATTTGTAGGTGTTTTCTGAGAAGTGTCTATTTAGGTCCTTTGCTGAATTTTTTGATTCTGTTATTTATTTTCTTGTTAATGAGTTGTTTGTGTTTCTTATATATCTTCCATTTAGCTTCTTATCTGAATGTATGGTTTGCAGATATTTTCTCCCAGTCCTTGGATTGTCTCTTTGCTCTATCAATTGTTTCCTTTGCTGTGCAGAAACTTTTTAGTCTGATGCAATTCCAGTTGTTTGTTTTTGCTTTTGTTGCCTGTGCTTTTGGAATCATATCTAAGAAATCTTTGCCCAGACCGACATTCAGGAGCATTTTTCTTATGTCCCTTCATAGATTCACAGACTCCGGTCTCATGTTTACATCTTTAATCCATCTTGAATTGATTTTTGTATATGGTGTGAGGTAGGGTACAATTTCATTTGTTGATATCCAGTTTTCCCAACACCATTAATTGAAGAAGTGATCTTTTCCCCATTGTGTGTTCTTAGCACTTTTGTCAAAACTCAATAGACCATAACGTGTGGATTCATTTCTGGGCTGTCTGTTCTGTTCTGTTAGTTAATGTGTCTGTTTCTATGCCAGTGGTATGCTGTTTTGATCTATAGCTAGGTAATAGATTTTGAAGTCAGGTAGTGCCTGACTTCGTTGCCTCCAGCTTTGCTATTTTTGCCCAAGATTCTTTTGGTTATTTGAGATCTTTTGTGGTTCTGTACACTTTTAGCACTTTTTTTTTCTTTGCTGTGAAAAATGACTTTGAAATTTTGATAGGAATTGAATCTCTACATCACTTTAGGTAGTATGGACATTTTAACAATATGAAATCCCAATCCATGAACACAAAAACATTTCCATTTCCAATCATTCAATCCATAATGACTTTTCAGTTACTCTACAATGAAGTGCATAGATGACAGTGGTCTCATAAGATTATAATGGAGCTGAAAAATTTCTATTTCCTAGTGATATCTTGATGGTCCTGACCCTTTGTGGACCTTGGCTAATGTGTATGTGTGTGTGTGTGTGTGTGTGTGTGTGTGTCTCCTAGTGTTTAAGAAAAAAGTTTTAAAAATATATATAATAAAAAACCTTATAGAATAAGTAAATAAAATATTTTTGTACAGTTGTATAATGTGTTTGTATTTTATACTATTATCACAAAAGTCAAAAAGTTAATAAAATAAAACATTTTATGAAGTAAAAATGTTACAGTAACCTAAGGTTAATTTATTATTGAAGAAAAAATGTTTTAAAATGAATTTAGTGTAGCCTAATTGTTCAGTGTTTATAAAGTCTGCAGGACTGTGCAGTAATGTCCTAGGGCTTCACATTCACTCAGTATTCCCTCACTGACTCACTCAAAATAACTTCCAGTTCTGCAAGCTTCATTCTTACTAAGGGCTCTATACAGTTGTACCATTTTTTAACTTTTATGCTGTATTTTTATACCTTTTCTATGTTTAGATGCACAAATACCATCGTGTCAAAATTGGCTATAGTATTCACCACAGTTATATACTGTATGGATTGGTAGCCTAGGAGAAGTAGGCTCTATCATACACCCAATGTGTGTAGTAGGCTATTCCAGCTGGGTTTGTGCAAATACACTCTATGATGTTTGCACAACAACAAAATTGCCTAACCACACAGTTCTCAGAACATATTCCCATCAGTAAGTAACACATGACTGTATTTGTGTCATCTATATTTCTCTCATCAATGTCTTATGGTTTTCAGTTTATAGATCTTTCACCTTCTTGGTTAAATTTACTCTTACATTTTTTTGTTGGTGTTCAATGAGCACCAGTGTTTGTTTGAGGCAGGGTTACCTCTGTTACCCAGGCTGGAGTGCAGTGGTGTGTTCATGGCTCACTGCAGCCTTGACCTCCTGAGCTCAAGTGATCCTCCCACCTCAACCTCCCAAGCAGCTGGGACTACAGGCACACACCACCAAGCCTAGCAAGTTTTTTTGGTATATATTTTTTTGTAGATACGTGGTTTTGCCATATTGCCCAGGTTGGCCGCGAACTCCTAGGCTCAAGAGATCTACCCACTGGGGACTCCCAAACTGCTGGTATTACAGGCATGAGCCATCACACCTGGCTCCTAAGTATTTTAAATATTTTAGTTTTTCTTTTTGAGGTTATTCTGAGTGTGTTAGATTTCTTAATTTCTTTTTCAGATAGCTGACTATAAGTGTAAAGAAATGGTACTGATTTTTGTGTATTGATTTTGCACCCTGCAACTTTACTGAGTTTGTTTGTCAGCTCTAATAGTTTTTCGATGGAGTCTTTAGAGTTTTCTGCATAGAAGACCGTGTCATTAGCAAACAGAGATTCCCTTCTTCCTTTCCTATTTGGTTGCCTCCTATTTCTTTTTCTTGTCTAATTGCTCTGGCTAGAACGTCCAGTGCTACATTGACTAGAAGTGTTGAGAGTGGACATTCTTGTCTTGTTTCTGATCTCTGACGGGAAAGTTTTCAACTTTTCACTATTGCGTATTATGTTACTGGTGGGTTTTTCATTTATGGGCTTTGTTGTGTTGCAAGCACATTCCTCCTATTCCTAAAAAAGGATGCTGAATTTTGTCAAATGCATTTCTGCATCCATAAAGATGATAATATGATTTTTATCCTTCTCTTAATATGCCATATCACATTTATTGATCTGCATATGTAGAGCCAAGGATCAATATATTATCAACATTTACTATGAGATCAGTGTCTGTGTTGAAGGTTTTCTGTTTGTGACATCACTTGGCCTTTATGACCATTCTCTGAGCCAATGAATACTCCATTTTGCAAATTAACTTCTCAGAGAAGTTAATCATCTTGACGGTCACAGGGCTGGTGCCTACTGGTTCTGAGATTTAAACTTAGAGAGGGAAGCCTGTGTTTGTCCACTCTGCTGCTGTGCCAAAAGGGGAGAATAATGTCTTTCTCTTCTCTTCTCCATGTGCTCCTCCAGAAGCTCAATGAAGAGTATCTGGGAGAAGTCCCGTGGCTAGCCATTGTCCTAATTTTTGACCTTGACCAGGGAGTTAGAAACATTGCCTGTCTGTGTCAGGCAGGTAAGAAGCAATGCTTCTGCTTGTTTCTCTCTCCTTGCTGATCTTCATATGCTTCCGTTCTTAACGAGGCAGAAAGAGAGAAGGGCAGGAATTGCTTCTGGATTGAGGGTA